GCGATCAAGTCCATGCTTCTTCATGCTTCTCTTGGAAAAATGGCTACAGCGATGGTTTTCCCCGTGATAGCCTTCTCCCCCAGATGCGTAAGCCGGTTTTGGCTATCGAGGAGCTGCGAGAATTTGCCTGTCTGCCGTGCGTACAGGAGGAGCGGCTGGAGGTGGTAGCCTGGCCCGGAGGGAGCTGCCTTCGCGCCCAAAACTCGCCGCTCTTGGGCTTGCGTTTCCCTGATTGTGCCCATGCAGTGAGACTGCTGCTACCCTGCACCGCAGCACCTCGCCCTCCTGGCCGCCATCATGGCGTCCCCAGCCAAACGTATCCTCCCTTTCTGTCTTTAGTGCACGGTGTTGTCTGACCCTTGGGATTCAGGATACTCTGCTCCAAGGAAATTCCCCAATAAAGCAGGTCAGGCTTGTGACTTGGGATTTCAGATCTATGATTCTCATAAGCAGATTTTTGTATCAAGCTTGAATTTCCTACTCCTGGATCTTCAACATGCTGAATTTTTTTCAGCGTAGGTGATCTGGTCACACAGGCCATGGCAGTCCCTTGATTTGGTTTGTGTTTTTTCCCCAGGTTTGTCAGTGAAGGCACCAATGGAAATGGGGAGCAGCAGCACTGAGAAGTTTTACAGGATCCCCAAAGGAAAGGGACCGCACTTGGTTGGATGTACAGACCTGATGACAGAAAATGCAGTGGAGGTAAAGCCCTTGGTTCTTCCTCCTTTGGATTTAAGCCACAATGTTAGTGAAACAGCTTGCTGTAGTTTTACAGATGAATCGAACAGAAGATCTTGTCTGTGTGCAGGGGTGCTCCAAGGCTAACACTCACAGCTGAGCTTTCTGTCCCAATGTAGGATGTGTACAGGGCACAGCTCAGGAAATGTCAGGTGTCTCCAGGAATTGGTTCTATTTACCAGATGGATGTAACCTGCAAGTCTTGCCCATGGCTACTTCCTCCTTCCTCCTAATATCCTTAGCTTCCCGATTCCCCTACGCAAGATACCACAGAGAAACTGTGTCCTCCCGGGACCCACAGGGTTCCCCCCATCCACCCCACCACTCCCTTCTGCGTTGGGCTCCTAGGGAGACTCCACGCACAGTCTCTGTGACTGTAGCTGTTCTCATCACAAAGATCCCAATGGGATTTGGCACAGTTGGGTGGTGATATAAGGAAAAAGTGTTTCACAGTGAGGATGGTGAAAGCCTGGCCCAGGTTGCCCAGAGAGGTGGTAGATGCCCCATCCCTGCAAACATTCCAGGTTGGGTTGACTGGGCTCTGAGCAACCTGATCTAGTTGGAGATGTCCCTGCTTACTGCAGGGGGTTGGACTAGATGACCTCTAAAGGTCCGTTCCAACCCAAACTATTCCATGATTCTATGAGTGTATGTAATGTTTCAAACTGCTGGGTAAAGGATGAGATGTCTTCTCGCAATTTTATCTAGCTGAAAAAGAAGATAATGTCAGTTCTGCAAGTGGTTAGTACAGAGAGAAGCCATGATACGAAGATGGAACAGTAAATAGCCAGCTGATGAGCTCGCTTAGGGCCTTCCCTTTCAAACCCTCTTGCGTTTTAATTTTCCTGTGAGAATATGCCTGCATTTACACTGTGGTTTTACTCCTCAGACTAGCCAGGTGTAGTGGAACTTGTGATCAGTTTGTAGTGGTTATTCATCTCCTTCCTTCGCTATCCTTTACTGCATTTACTCTGTATTAGCACTAAGAAGCGATTAGTTTCTCTTTGTGATCAGCCCGTATGTTTTTCTTAGATAAGCAATCTGTATAATTACAGTTTTCTCAGGCATAGATAATGAACCTCTTTCCTTTCTGGTAGGCATTTAATCACCCAGGAAAGTTCACTGGGACTATTCTGGGATCAAATTAATTTCATTATTTCATTATGGATGAAGATTTGATGATTTCTTCCTTAATGGCCTTTGTGTCAAAGGTTGCTTTAAGTTTGATGAGTAAATAGAAACAAGCTTCACTAAACACGCTTTTTGTACACATTGTATATGAAACTGATACATCAGCATTCAAGAAGCCAGCCTTTATTCACAGAATCTTAGAATCATAGAACAGTTTGGGTTGGAAGAGACCTTGAAAGGTCATCCAGTCCAACCCCCCTGCCATGAGCAGGGACATCTTGAACCAGATCAGGTTGCTCAGAGCCCCGTCCAGCCTGACCTGGAATGTTTCCAGGGATGGGGCACCTACCACCTCTCTGGGCAACCTGGGCCAGGGTTTCACCACCCTCATGGTGAAAAATTTCTTCCTTATATCTAGTCTAAATCTGCCCTCTTTCCTAATTTAAAACCATTACCCCTTGTCCTATCACAGACCCTTCTAAAAAGTCTGTCCCCATCTTTCTTCTACGCCCCCTTGAAGTACTGTCAGGCTGCAATAAGGTATCCCCAGAGCCTTCTCTTCTCCAGGCTGAACAACCCCAACTCTCTCAGCCTGTCCTCACAGCAGAGGTGTTCCATCCCTTGGATCATTTTTATGGCCTCCTCTAGACTTGCTCTGACACGTCCCAAAGCTCATGTTCTTTTTCGCCCTAGATTTAACTCGTGGGGGGAAAAAAAAAAGTACAGTTGGAGCAAGATAGTGAATATGAATAGTGTGTCGCAAATTCCCTTGCAAACCAGGAAGTAAGAATGCAAACTGCACACAGTTCATCTGCCGGGAGGTCTGCTTTAAGGTGTGCTGTTGGTACATTGCTGCTGTCTGTGTAGGAAAAATACTGACAATGGGGTCATGGATGGTCCACGTGAATGTGGAAAGCTTGTGTGGTTTCCTGGAAGACCTGGAGTGCATACAGTGAAAGAAGATTCAAAGCGGTGGTAAGAAATGGAGGCAGATAAAACCCAGGTTAAAAAAATTGTGTTTAGAAAGATGGATCACTACAGCTGTTTGTAAACATCTTGATGAGGAGAGAGGCAATATATTGAACTCCTTTGCTATGCAGCTGTCCCAGAGCTTCACTCTCTACCTTTTGCTGAGGTTAGCCAGGAACACTATAGCCATGTTGAGACCATGCCCCTGACTGTACCCTTATTTCCGCAGCTGGACCACACTTCCAGCTGTGGAACTAGTCTCAGGGTAAAATCTGTCTTGCTAACCCAGTGGAAGAATATACTTCTTTTTTCCCCCAGTTTAGAAAGCTGAATTGGGCGAGTAACAGATACACGAGACTCAGTGGTGCAAAGAAAGCAATGACAGCTGGAAGGGTAAAGGGAACACAATCACTCCTGTAAACTAATCAAACTGCATTATCGTACCATTCCCTGAAGGGAGGCATAGTGAGAAAGACAGAAGATAAGATCCAGCAAGATGCAGAAATAGAGCAAATAGGTCGTGAGTGTTTGTAATGATTAATTTAATTAAATGGAACGTTTTGAATCAACCATGGGCTAACCTAGAGAAGGTCATGTGTATCTCTACCTTGATGCCAACAGTTATGCTACTTTAAATTCATTGCAGGGACAAAAAGATAGTGTTTTTATCTTCCTTTTTCTCTGCCATATATAAATAAATATCAATCTTCCTGTGTGGTTTTTTTTTCCCCTAATCCCAGGGAAGCTTCTTGCGCCTGTATTATCCATCGTGCGATGCCACAGATAATGAAGAGGCACCGTGGATTCCAGATAAAGAGTACTACCAGGGACTCTCTGACTTCCTTAATATGTACCGAGTTGTAGGAGAAAGGCTTTTCCAGTACTATGTTGGTAAGACTGGTTCTGGTTTTATTCCTCGACTAGTGCAAGGGCATGAGCTCTGTGTGTAGGTCACTGCCTCTCTGCTCCGTGAGCCGTGTGTTATTGCTGCAGGACTAACAAATAGCTTTTCCCAAATAAGTATGTTTGTTTGGGATGGGTTTGTGTAGTGAGGCTCAGTGCTGAATTTGACCCAGTTCTCAGGCAGACCCACAGTCCCTGACTGCTATGAATAGGAGTGTCTGGGTAATTTGCGCTAGGAAGAGCTTGGGTAAGCTGCACCTATGTGTTGGGATTTAAATCGCACAGGGAAATGTGCAAATATACAAAGGTCAGATAGATACTAAGCTCTGAATACCGATGAGACTTGGATACCTGACTATTCTTGAAAATCTGCTCTTATAGGATTTAAGAGATAGGCAGGCCTTGTGCCAGGTTGTAGATGGGAGGAGGAAAAGGAAAGTATCTTCTGCCAAGTAGAAAGTATTTTCAGAATCAGATTCTTATTTGCCTTCTGCATTTTAAGGATGAGATTTGGTACCTTATCTTCAGATGACTGCTCTCAAATCAGTGGTCACCAGACTCTTGGGATCTCTCCCACAGGAACAAACGCTTTCTCTCATTTCAGTAATAATGACATATGCTTTGATTTTTATCTAGGTTCCGTGACCTGTCCTGCAAAGTCAAATGCTGCTTTTAAGCCGGGAGAAAAATACCCACTCCTCGTTTTTTCCCATGGACTTGGAGCTTTTCGGTAATTCCACAGTTTGTTGACAAACTATTTTTGTATGCTATGGAGACAGCAGTTTCTAAGTATGGTTCTGAACAGATTTTCAGTAGGGTGGTGAGATCCCTGTGGAGTTGAAATAGATTTGAAGAACTGGCTGCTGTGTATCAGTATGCCTCCACTAAAATCAACAGCAGTAAATAAAAGCAGGGTTGATGGATTTATTTGTGTTTTCTCTTTGTATTTTAGGGGTGAAGGTGTTTACCAGTCCATAAGCGTGTTGTGAAGATTAGCTAGTTGGTTTTGGACAGCTCTTTGAAGATGCGAAGTGTCATATGTGCTACTTTTTAAAAATCATTAGAATTTTTCCTTCTGAATAGATAGTAAAACAGCAACAAGGTTTTGTGAGCAGACTTTTTGGTGGCTGGCATACACAAGCCTGCTCTAGTGGCTAGCAAATTCAAACAGGAGAAATACTGAATGGGGACTAGCGCATATGTAGTGTGGTCAATGTTTAAAGAGAAGTGAAATTGAAATAATTATGTATGCATATGTCTCACCAGAGTGTGGTTTTGATTGCAGGACAATCTATTCTGCTATTTGCATAGAGATGGCTTCCCAGGGCTTTATAGTGGCTGCTGTGGAGCACAGGTGCGTATACTGCCCATTTTTGACTTCTGATGGAAAGGAACTTTCTCACATTGAATAGAATGTTATTTATTGTAAAGAAGAACTTACGATTTTTTTTTAAAAAGAAACATATCTTCTTCAACCCTGCCCATCCCCCTGTTTTTCTAGCTTAACTCTTACCTAAGCAAAGGGGATTTGCTTAGATATGCCCTTGAATGATAAGTCCCATGATAGATATCATTTGTCATTCTTCAGGCATGCTATTTTTCTCTCATTGTTAGAACCTGGAGAATATAAAGGAAGCGGGAGTTTTAGTGGGGTTATTGCATTATTTAGAAACTCTGTCTACAATCAGTTGTGATTGCAGCAGCACTGATTGGTAGCTTGGATCTCCTGAGATAAGTGAAATCTAAAACTTCTGCTGACTTCATCTCAAACCAAATGGAATTCATCCCCAGAAATAACCCTTTGTTGACATTACAGAGATGAATCTGCTTCTGCAACGTATTATTGTAAAAAAAAGTCAGTTTCTGAACCACAGGAAGAGTCTACATCAAACATGGAGAAGGAATGGATCTACTACAGGAAACTAAAAACTGGAGAGGAAGAGCGCTGTTTGCGCCATAAGCAGGTACCGATCCTAGGTCTGTGCTCTAGGATGTGAGGCGGGAGTGGTGTGTTTAGGACTAATTAGCAGACTTTTTTCCTTTCTGCCATGACTCAGGATATGTAGAAATGCATCAAGTCCTATGTTCCTGAAGATGGGAAAGCCAACAACAGCTTTCTTCAGAGCACAAACTACTTACTTCCTCAACAAAGCTGTCTCATGAAGTTGCACTGTTGACCTTAGTCAGCTGTTTCTCCTCTGATTCCACTCAACTTTCTGTTTCTTTTCTATGCCTTCACACTTCTTTTGCCCAGCCCAGTCTTAAAGTGCCACAGAGTTGAATTCAGGTATTTGTGTGGCTTTAGGCTTGCTTCAGGTTTTGCTTACTGTTGGATAGCAAGATGGATCGTGGCTGCTCTAAGGGGGATGTTTGCTTCATCATCTTCAACACGCTTTAACGTGGCTTATAGAAATGTAAACAATGCAGACTTCCTGATTATAAGCAGCACCCATGCTAGATACGATATGGCCATACTGACAAGCTCCTCCAAGCATAGACTTGACCTTTAAAATATGGGAGTGTTTTCTTCCAGCTAATGCAAACTCAGCCAGGGAGGTGTTTCTCTTTATCTCCCTGGGCCATACAGACAGCAGCAGTACAATTGTCATTTCCTGTGTACATACAACATCCTACTTACGAGCCTAAATACTTAATGTCTGAGCTTGCAAATAACTTCCAGAAGCTGTTGCCTGCAAATTTCCCTAGTAAAGAAGTCACGAGATAGTGATTTATTTGAAATTCAGTGATGCACAGATATCTTGCTGGTTGCCTAAACACTGTGGTTCCCAAGGATACTACTGTTCTTTGGTTCTTTTTAAAGCTTTTATTTTTCTAAAACATAAAAATCAAAACCACTTCTTATACCAACCAATGAAAACCTTTTTGCAACAGCTTAACTACAGTTTTCAAGAATGTGTATGTATATAAAATGGGAAGGGCTTCTTGGATTTTTCTTATTTTGGATTTATCCAGCATAAAGACAGTTTCAAAGCTGTCATGCAGATGAGGCAAGTGATATAATGACATTTGCTTATCAAAGTGAGCATGAGGAGGAGCAGCCAGTCAGCATTCCTTGTAGTTGTGTAACTTAAGCCTTTGTACATCCCAACAAGCCCTTCTCCAAGTAGTGACAGGACGAAGGAGTTGAAGGTCTTTGGTGTGTGGGGATAAATTCCTCCATGTGCAGAGAGTCTGTGCAAGAGCTTCAACTTGTTGGAGCTCCAAAAGTCGGTTTTGTTGTTGGTCAGACCTTATCAGAGTTCCGTTTTATAGACCCATTCTGGACTTCAGAATAGTCATTACTGTAGCAGACACTTAGCGGGGAAAAAAATCAGACTAAGTCTTGTGTCCAGAGCACCAGCAAGCCTAGCAGTTGTCTGATAATTCCTTCCACTGCTCTGCCCCAACATCTCTTTCTCTCCAGGTGCAGCAAAGAGCGCTGGAGTGTATCAAAGCTCTCAACCTCATTCTTAATATCAATTCAGGAGAGGAAGTAACAAATGTGCTAAATTCAAACTTTGACTGGAATAGCCTAAAGGTGAGTGAAAGGCGGTGACTGCATTTTGTTAAACATCTAATAATGCTTCTGATTTCCCTCTTCCATTTCTAACTGGTTCCTGTAAACTATTCTGAAGATCACACCATAGATCTATGAACATATTCTCAGGCCATACCAAACTGGATAGATAGTAATGGAGCTGAAATGATGCTCTTCTACTTCAATAGGATCTGTTGCCTAAAAAATTATTCCCTTAAAAAAAAAAAAAAAAAAAAGGTTGGGAAAGAAAGTCTCTTACAGCACCTGGATTTTTTTGACAGGATTCTGTTGATACTAGCAGAATAGCTGTGATGGGACACTCTTTTGGTGGTGCTACAGTTATTGAGAGTCTCAGCAAAGAAATAAGATTCAGGTAAGTATGTAAAACAAGGCAAGAGACATTTGGCACTTGAGACTTCTGGAGCAGAGGACCTTAGCTGAGATCCCCCAACTACTAATTAGTTCTTGAAGAAAAGTTTTGTTTGGCATGTCCTGTTTTCTCAAGTCATGCTTCTTTCAACTGTGGGGCTGTGGTGGAACATAATAGTTGTATCATATTATATCATAGTACCGTGGGACCCTGCAGAGGCTCCTATGCCAGCTGCACCTTGCACTGGAGACCAACAAATGCAGTAATGGATTAATTATCTTCCCCCAGAGTAGAAATAATTTGGAAACAAAATAATTCATTAACCTGTTTACCTGTTCAGTATCAGAAAGAGTTTCTCTTTCCCATGTCCCCTGCAAATCAAAGCATGCTGGGAACTTGCATACAAAGCTTTCTGCTTCTGTGACAATATCCAGTTGTTTTTGACAGGTGTGGCATTGCCCTCGATGCATGGATGCTCCCAGTAGGCGATGACATTTACCAAAACAGTGTCCAGCAACCACTGCTTTTTATCAACTCTGAAAAATTCCAGTGGGCTGATAATATCTTAAAGATGAAGAAGCTCGGCTCCAATGACACAAACAAGAAAATGATCACTATCAAGTAAGTGTCCAGGATCCATCATTTCTGTGTTTGAAGATGAATCTTTACTCTCTTGTTGGAGCTGTTAGTTACATGTAACTGCAGAAAGACAGTCACGACTTCCTCGTGGCACAGGTTTTCGCTGCATGTTTAAATTAGACAGCAGTATGTCCCCGACAGTGGAGACAGAGACCTCTCTCAAAGCAGCCAGTAACCCCAAGTTTAATACGCTCCAAGGTGTGCATACCTGCCCTGGGGCATGAGTTCTGCTCTGGGCCTCAGGCACCATCTGTGTTTGAACACTTTAAATCACTTTCTGGGTGCAATATACACACTCACCTAGTGCAAGCACTGCCTACAGGGCAGTGGATGGCTCTATAACCCACCTTACACTTGGAGCAGAGAGACAACTTGAAGTTTTAACAGGCCTACTCTTTGTTGCAATTATAGTGACTTGCAGTAAGCATGTACAAAATTTCCTCCCTTTTGCATGCTCATGAGATTAAACTGTTTTATCATCTTCTGCTAAATAAGACAGCATAAGATGTGTGACTGTCTTTGAAGAAGTCTCTGCAACCCGTGGCATCTTTTAATTAGACAACTGCATTCTTATAAGCCTGTTGATCATTGTTCTGTTTGCAGGGGGTCAGTGCATCAGAGCTTTCCTGACTTCACCTTCGTGAGTGGAGAAATCATTGGAAGATTTTTCAAATTAAAAGGAGAAATAGATCCAAATGAAGCTATTGATATAAGCAATCATGCTTCATTAGCCTTCCTGCAGAAACATTTGAGTAAGTATCTGTTTACATCAAAGTATGAAGTTAAATTAATACTTAATTCCTACAAAGCTTTTTACATAACCATTCTGTTTATAACAAGATCAAATGTAAACGTGTCAGAAAAGTTTAAGTAGAAAAAAATAAGTCAGACTTTTTCTAGAGGTTTGTTACTTTTGTAATCTAAGCAATTCAGAGGAGGAACATTGCACTTCTGTTGTAATACATAAAAATCTGGAGTGTCATTCTTCCCCCCTTAAAACATCATGCCTGCCCTACTTTGAGTTGATTCATCTGTAACTTGATTTTTCAGTGTAGCTTTACAAAAAGCTGACTAGTTAATTCATTACTACTTGGGTTTTCTTTCCCCCATTTTATAGGTCTTAAGAAAGATTTCGATAAGTGGGATTCTCTTGTGGATGGCATAGGACCCAATGTTATTCCTGGCACCAATATTGACTTACCTCCAGCTGAACCTGAATAAGGAATACAAAGAAGTACTGAAAATGCCACAGATATCACGACACTAACGTTGGCCAGACATTGCTCAGATATGTGATAGCATTGGCCTCCCACACAGCTTTTGGGGTGTGGAATAAAAAAAAAAGCATTAGGTTACATTATTGTGAAAATGTAGAGAGGTTTTAGTTCAAACGAGTTAGCAGCATTCTCTGAAACACTGCAGCAGGGTAACTTCTGCTTTATAGGCAGCTGGGGGGCAAAAAAAAAGGTCACTTGATGGTAACTTAAACACTCTTT